GTGCTTCAAGGAGCTTCAGGTTTGACTCAGCCATGCCTATATTGCCAACATACAGCTTTCCAGAAGGTTAGAAGGAAAGTTAAAAATATATTTAATACATAATTCTGCAGCAACAGCAGACAAATTTTATGATTTAGACTGTTCCTTCTGTTGGTATCCTTGCAAAAGCTTAGGCTGGTTGCTAGGCAACTGACATTAAAAAAAAAAGTACATTTCTCTTTGTATTGCAGGCAAGAACCTTGGGAGCAGCAGAGGCCTCAGATGGCTCCTTAAATAGCATTGCTGGGGAATGAAAGTTAAAATATTGAACATTCATTGGTTAAAGATCCTGTTACAAAGGTCAGCTATCTTGGGGATATTCAATAGTTTGGTTTCCTTTGGTGCAAAGGAAAGATTAGAAGGGAGTTTGCCTGTGTGCTGTAGATAGTACAAAAAATGGAAATTTCTTAAGATGCCTGACTGTTGAGCAGAATACCTAGGTGGGCTATATAATTGCCTTCAGGCTTAACTCTCTTTTCTTGACAGAAAGTGTGAAGTGAGGTGTTTGTCACATTAGCAAGTACAAATGTGTGCTTATAGATCTTAGCATGTAAGAGGTGCTTTTAAGAGGGAGTATTTGAAGCTGCTTAACTCCAGTGCTCTAATTTGATAAACACAAGGTAAAAGACAAGGGAGGGAATCAGTTCCTGTGTTAAGTAAATGTCTTGGGGGAATGATGTTCATGCTGAGATTCACAGAAATCTCTAAATTCAGTGGAAAGCTAACAGCAAAACTACTGATTCCAGAGTTCTCAATTGCTTGCTCATTCTGTCATCTTTCTATGTCAGTTCAAGGTCATTTATGTCTAAATGGCTGTGAATCCCAGGACAGAGGGAATAATAATTCTTGCATTGGGATGAAAGATTTCCTCCACTTCCCCAAAATCCCTTTGAAACAGTGCAGTTTTTAGGCAGGATGATGCAAGAAATACAGCAGCACTAGTTGTGGAAATTCATTTGTGTACTAAACTGACAGGTAAACTGGGAATGAGGCTGTCTACCAACTCACCATCTTGAGGAACATTTTTCCTTCTGGCTGAAAAGTAGCAAAGAAGCAAAAAACTAGGGAGGTTTAGGGAACCTATGCAAGAGAAGAGCAACTGTTCTGGCGTGTCAAAAGTCTATCAGACTTTATTTACTGTCTGGAAATTATTTTTCCTTTTACTTATATCTGTGTTTTCTTTATATTTTAAATATTAAATTGCTCTCTTATTTCCATCTTTGGTTGCTTTGGTGTGGTGAGAGAGCAAAGGAGGGGAAAGAATGAGAATTGTATTGTGGTAACCCAGAAAAACCATTTGGGCAGCACCTATGGGTTTACCATAACTGATGGCAAATTCTCTCAAGCCATCTGGAAAAGGAAGAAAAATTTACTGTAGGATGCTCTTGGTTCACTTCTGTTCATGTGCAAGCATCTTGGAGGAGTATGCCTCCATGCTTCATTGTTGAATTAGTAAATAGGAAGTGGGAGTTGTGTTCTGTGTTTGGATGGTTGTTTTTCTTTACGTTTTACTCCCTTATAGGATTCAAGAACATGGTTGCCATAATTATGCAGGGGGAGGTGTCCTCTCCATCCTTCTCCTTCCCCAATAGCTTCCTTGTGATTCCTTGCTCTAGATTAGAGGCCAAATGAGACTTACTTTTCTGAAGTCGTAGGGAACTGATTCTAGTGCAGTCGTTATAAGCCAGCAATTAGCAAGTTAAATAGAAACACCATAAATCCTGGCTTGAATTATTATGTGAGCCCCTTTGAAACTCAGAATCATGAGTGGGAAGCATGTACTCACTTGGAATTCAATTTCTTCTCTTCTCAAAACATGCCTCACCAATAAATCAAATTATTATTGCCTTGCAGTGAATCTCACAAACAATGCACTTGGCTGCCTGGTCCACCCACACTAAGTGAAAGAATATGTGCATTTTAATTACCAGATTATTTCAGTGTTGCACAAACACTGTTTCATACTAAATATTTTTACAAACCAATGATATTCAATAATAAGTGTTGGATATTTTTTCTATTAATGTCTGTAATTAGTGTCTTTAAGAAACCTTGATATTACATGTCATGCCAGTCTCCTCTAAGTAAGGTCACTGTGGGAGTGGGATATTATTTCTCCTGTCATTCCTTGACTAATGTTTTCATCATCTGTATAAAATATCTGCTGAGTAAATTTTTCAAGGTGAAGTTATATAATATCTCTTGAATTTTTAAAATGCAGCTGGGGAGAAAGGCTTCATGTCACCCTGTTTCTAAAACCACTTCTGCTCCATATGTTTAGTTGCAAATTTTATAAACTTCTTTAAAACGACATAACTTTGTAAATGTTTTAGGAGCAGTGCAGAAACTGTGTCTCTTGCTCTGTAAATCCATGTTCAGAAGCTCTCGAATGCATATGTAATAAAGTGACTTGACACCTGAGGTGTTTGGATGTAGGCACAAGGTGGGACTTTCTCCTGTGCAGCATTCAGGAGTCACTTCTTTGCAGTGGCCTCCTGAACAGGCTTGGGGCAGGACAGACATGGCAAGGGTTCTGTGGATTGACACAATTGGAGACTGTGGTGTTGGCTTGTCCTGCAGACAGGGAGGGAGCAGAGTTCAAGAGGAACTGGACAGGAATGGGCTGTGCCCCTTCTCTTCTGGTGTAGGTCCTACAGCTGTGGCCCAAATTAGGACAGGCCTGTCGCTGCTTTGGTTTGTGCTAGTGTTGGTTGTGCTGATCCACAGGAGAGCTGCCACCAGCTGCCAGGTGCCTCCTGATTTCCCTGCAGTTGCAGTGCTGGTGGGGAGCTGAGAAGTGACCACTGGGTTGAGCTCGTGTCTGTTTTTGCAAGCGTTGGCTCTGGGCAGTGTATGGACTTTTACATACCTGGCCTTTGCAGTTCACTTTTTCATGGTGAGATGACAGGGGTTGCTGGGGTTCAGCTGCAGATACACTGGCTGTCACAGTGCATATTGTCCTGCTGTCACATTTATTTTCTGGAAACACCTGGGGGGCTGCAGTACAGGTATGAGGGCAAGAAGATGATATGCAGCCTAGGTCCCTTATGGGTTATGCTTGTATTTCCAACACATCCATCATGCTGCTGGGAACACCAGCTGCTTTCAGTACATTTTGTGTGAGAGAGGAATAAGATGCCACTAAAACCTGAGACACCACTTGTTCTGAACAAATAGGTGTCAGGGAGGTTCATTCTGAGGGATGCTAGTCACCTTGTGGCAACAGAGCACAGCAGTGTGTTTGTTCCTGTACCTCAGGGTTGAATTACACGTCTTTATTTCTGAGAGGGGTGAAGTAATGGTTCAAGCTCTAGGACAAAGTTTATTGATTTCCATCCTTGGTCTAAGACGAGCTTCCTTCTGGCTTTAGGCGAATTGTGCATTTTGAATTTTAAATTAGCAAATGCTTCCTCACTTTTACTGATCATGCCTGATGCTCTACATAAGTGGGAGCAGCCTGAAGAATATAGGGTGTGGTGCTGTTCGTGTTCAGACCACAAGGTTGGTACCCAAGCTTTTCAAGCAGGAGGATTTGCTCCCTGCTGCATTGGTTATGAGACCCCTCTTTGCCTTAAGGTGGGCATGGCTGGTGTACATCCAGTTTTCTATTTTTCCAAGTTCCCTCCCAAGCAAATTCGTAATGAAGCTTTTGAATTCAGTAGCAAGAAGTGGACCTCAATTCTGTGGAGGAAGGAGCTGGCAGGTGCACCCCACTCTGATGTGGTGGCAGGGGGGAAAGTGCTGATGGAAGTGGGAATGTGAAGCTGTGGTGTTGCTGGAGGGGATCACAGCAGTCACCAGACTATGTGTGGGTCAGTTCTGGTAGAGAGAGCCCCTGGGAGTCAGGAGGAGACGCCCAGGACCTGATGGGAATAGCAGATGGTTGGACTTTGCAAACTTCTGTGGCTGCTCTTCTGAAGTATAGAAAGGCCATGACTATTTAACGTGCTTCTGAGCAGGAACATTGTGTCTTGGGACTGTGTGGAAGACTTTGGGAGGAAACAGGAATGCAAGAAATTCCAAGAGAATAAAACTTCCCGTTAAGTTTAAGCATGGGAAAATTTGAGTGGATTAGGGTCAATAGTGAGGAAGGTTTAAATGTAAGACAATTCTGGTTCCGGTGGAATGGGCTGGTAGTCTCTGGTAGGGCAACTCCTGTCACCTTCTTGCTGTGTGAGGTGGCCTTTTCATCACTGCCTCAGACCAGAGCTTTCTTCATTCCCTTCTAAAGCATCTGAAATGTGGCAGCCGTGAACATGTGCTGCAAAACACAATGTTTGCAGAGCACATCGGATCCAAAGGGCTGTGCAAGTGCTAATCTTGAAAAACATCCTCATTAATGGTAACCTAACACCAGAAAAATAGCAAGAGTTTTATGGGCTTTCTTTCTAACACGTGCTTGGACCACCCAGTGAACAGTGCATTGATCTGCATGCACCCTTTGTATGGTGGGGTCCCAGTTGCTTTCTTGTATGTTCTGGAACTGGAGAAGACGTAAAACAACCTACTGAGCAGATTACTTTAGCTGAACAAACTTCTCTGAGTGAAGTTGGCCTAAAATATGAATGTACAGGAGGATAAGCTCTTTATGATCTCTTCTGGCTTACTGGAAGATGATTATATGCAAGGAAAACTACAGCAGAATTCTTGTGTACTGGGAGAGCAAAGTTAAAATAACCAGTGCATTGGTAGCTAAGAAAAATGTTTCTTGTAAAATGCACAGACAGGGCTGCCTCTTTGGCATGTTTCCTCTGAGTGTGGGAAGAGTGTGTTTGTGTGCATGCGTGTACGCATGTCTGCATGTGGAGGTGGGAATCAAGTTGCTGACTTGTTGCTGACATGGGATTCTTTTCTCCACAGCACTTCTATGCACATGTCACTGCAATGTTCTGCATGGACTCTCAACAGCATTTGTCTAATCAGCCTTTTTTGTTTCCTCTTCCTCTCTCCCACTCCTCCAGTCGGCATATGCTGTGTCAGTGCTCAAAGAGTGTGCAAAACTGCGACCTGCAGATCCCACCGTTCCCCTGCTGGCTGCCAAGGTCTGCATTGGGTCACTGCACTGGGTAAGCAAGCTGATGCAATTCTCATTATGTAATGGATTAGGTGCTGCAGTGACAGTGCCACAGTGTAGTTGCAGTGGGGAGAAAGGGAATCCCTGCTAAGAGGATACACACATGTGCACCCTTTATAAAAAATGAAAATCCCTGCAAGAAATTTTGTAGTGAATTATTCAAATATATTTTGTGCACGTGGAAGAAAGGAGGAGGGGAGGAAGCCATAAGAGCAGTTCAGAGGACTCCTGCTTCGGCTGAGTGTCACGTTGAATCAGCCACTCTTGTAGCCCCTGCAGGACAGAAGTTAATAGTTGTGAGTGGACTGTTACATAGTTCAGGTCTGCTGGACAACTCAGTCCTTTGTTCTTGAAGTTGCTGTGTCAGTGTTTTGTGTTCTGGATGTGTTAATGTATGCCCCAGAAGCAGAGTGGGAGTGGAAGTTGGTGCCTGTGAAATTCTGATTATCCAAAGGAGCAGAAACATCTGTCACTGTTTCTCTACTTGGTTTAATTAACTGAATGGCAGCCTGCTGTTCTCACCTGTCCTCACCACGAGGTGTCCCTGCAGTCAGTGAAGGATTACAATTGCTGAACAGAAGTAAAACAAGATGCAAGAAAATATGAAAGAAAATACCAGAATAATCTGTACAGATCTTGGAGAAAAGTTGTAGAAGCCAATTTGCTGTTGTTTTGTTCCCTTACCCCACCTCCCCACCTTCTACATCCCTGTCTGATGAAAGCTGCTGTTCAGCTAAACTTGAGGTGTATCAGTTTACACCAGCATCAGGGAGCGTGTTTGGTGTGCATGTTTTTGAATGAACTATAATGGTTAAGCTTATATGTGAGTCAGCAAAAAATGGGCAGCATCTTTTTCTAGGAAGAATCTTCAAGTCTAAGTACCTTCAGGGAATTCTTGCTGAACTGCCCAACCTGCTCCTGCTCTACATTTGGAGCAATTCAACCCTCTTGTACCCACAGCTCAGTCTCTAAATTTTGCAGGCTGAAAGTCATTCAGTGATGTATAAAAAGATTCACAGTGAATGGTATTTTTAAAAATAAAGTAAATAAGTTTTTTTTTTTTTAATTCTTAGAGATGTTAAAACAGTGAAAGTGAGGTATTACAGCTGTGTTGAATGCTGTTCTTAGTATGTCTGATAAAGTTTTTAATGCACAGCTAGCATATAAAAATACCTCATTACTTTGAAAAGACAGTGAGACTGTAATTCAATTCCAGCTTGGGCAATCCAGTATGTCCAGTCTTCTCATACATGACAGAGCTAACAAAACAACTGGCTAACCCTAAAAAGTAGGAAAGGCAAGGGAAGAAGAGAAAAATTAGCAGGTTTTGATTATTTCAAGAGGGTTTTTTCTTCAATCTACTGCTTTTTTATTGTGTGAAATGCTTTTCAGTGTTATTCAGTCAGACACTGGCTCAAAACTGGGGGTATTATGAAATAAAATCATGATTTCACAAGAGGGCAATTTTACTGCAGTTATCTAGAGCACAGTCTTATGAACTAAAACCAAATTAAAAATATTCCCTCTCCCATTCCTTTCAGTCAGTGGCCTATGCTTTGCCCTCATAGCAAACTTGATGATGGTATAGAAGGATTTTAATTAAGGGGAGTCTGAGGGAAATCAGATCATCTTTTAAAAGAACTGAAATGATAGGTTCCCACGTCTCTTAGTCAAAGGGGTGCTTTTGATATTACTGGCAGACTCCTGTGCCTAATAAAGACCTTCCTGCTTAGCAGAGCTGTTTTTCTAAATGTCATCCTTACAGTAATTATTTGCATTTAAATTACATGGCAATCAAATCAGAATTGAATAATTTAAACTGGAAGTTAACAGGCTGATCAATGCCAGTATAAATAGAAAGGAAGATAGACATGGGACTGGAACAGTCTAATGGACAAATATTAGCAGTTACAAATATTCAAATACATCTTTCTTTTCAGAACATATAAAATATGATTAATTTTTCAATTAGGAAATATGTCTGTGTATTTGATTGCTGGCTAGGTGGGAAAAGGGTGAAATCAGATCACCATTTAGCCAAATGAAACAGCTAATTTATATCCTGCATCTGTCTACTGTGGGGTGCAGTATTGTAGCCAGTTTGTTTATAGCTCATGGGCAAGCCGTACTTTAGTCTTCTTTCAGCTACTAGCAATAAAAAAACACCTCCAAAATACATTTATGCAGATGGATAATTACAGAATGTCATGAGAAGCACAGAACAGTTTCTTTCATGATTAATCTAGTGATCACTTAAGTAATTTTGCTGGCTTTGTGCATGATGTCTCAGCACACTTTAAGAGCAGGGAAAACAGAAAATAAATTGAAATTTACTATAACGATTTACAACACTGAGGATGCTCTGATCACATCTATGAAATAATCTGTCAGTGCAGAACAAATCAAAGTGAAAACGTGGATGCAGTCATACAGTGCCATGCAAATCAATATATAGCAAAGCCTGATGCAGAAAAGAGCTGAGGCTCCCCCAGCTTCTGTTGTGGCAGCATGACTAGATCATTAACTGATGTAAGGTGGCAGTACTCTACTGGCATGTTAGGGGTACCGTGCTGGCTTACATCAGGAGATGATCTGCCCCATCAACTGCTAGCTTTTAGGATTGGGCCCTCAGTAAACTGGGTGGTATAAGCAGTGTTTTGGCTACCCTTTTCAGAATTAAAGGTTTTTAAAAACATAAATTTCAAAAAATCCAGTGTGAACAATAAATCAATATCTCATTAATTCTAAAGCTTAAGCCAGTAGACTCGGAGGACCAGAAAAGCTTCAAAATAAATGCACATATGTAAACCACATTTGTATGGTCAGGATGCAGTCAGACCTGTGCAGCAAAGCTGGAACTTCTGTATTGTATCCAAACCATTACACAGGTGTTTTAAGTGTTTTTGTAGTAGGCTCAGAATTACTTTTGAGGCAACATGCTGCTAAGCTTTCCAGCTTGCTGGGGTTTTAGCACAGCAGTTTGCTGGACTTGCACATGGATGATTCTATCAAGTGAACACAAAGCCCATTTGTGTTTAGCCAGCTGTCTTTTAGCTTTCCAGAATGCACTGTGAAATGTTTGACTATTGTGGGTCAGAGTATTGTTTTAAATTTGCACTGGATTATGTTCATACTGAGGTTGCTTTGCCTTGCTCCACTGTAAATTCAGAGTTCTGCTCACTAAAAGGCTTGCTGCCATTTCCTTTTTCACTCAGCCTTCCCTGGCATGGTCTCAGCTGAATGCTCACTTGCCTATTTTGGCAATGACTTTGAGTTGCAGGATGAGTTGTTGTTTTTAATATTTTAATAGTACAGTTCTGTTAATTTCACTACTAATCTAGGTTCTCCAGGATGCTGTTATGGCAGGTGTTGTGAAAATACTAAAAATGGAACTTCTTCCTACAGACAAGCATTAAATACTGAATTTCTCTGTTTTTGGGAGCCTTGTTTGAGGTATTTAGGGTTACCCTGGTGCTGTCTTTGGCCTTTTACTCAGTTGGTTTCAATGGAGGCATGTTGAAAATATTGTAAATACACATAAAGCAAAATGAACTGTAGTCCTAGGATAGGCTTGAATTTCTAGAACTCTGCTCTGACAAAAAGCTGGAAAACATGAGGCATGTCTGTCATGTTCATTGCTCCTCATTGATATAATAGCAGAAGTGGTGGTGTGCTGAACTTGTGTAGCATCAAATGATGCCAGTATTATCAGCTAATATGAGCTTTTCAAAGCTGCAGCACAGGACAGTGCTATACCTCGTATTTCTCTCATTTCTTTGAACTAGTATGCACAGCAAAGTTCTCTACTGCAGCAGGGAAGACAGATCATGCCATCAGTCAGGGAAAGGGAGAAGTGCTGTTGGGCCAGGGCAGGCCGTGCATGGAGTCATAAAAACTAAGTAAGACATGCCATGAGGTCAGGACGTGTGTGTCAGGGGGGTTGGCAGGATGTAGAGGTAGAGCTGCATACTTCTGAGGTAACAGCTTACCATTCATTACTTTCACAGAGCACTTAATGAGAGTGCTTCTCTCCCCTTCTGTCTGTTGTTCACCCTGCCCCTGTAGTTAATAAATGCTGTGCATGTGCTGGTACCCAGTCACTTAGGAGCCCCGGAGTCGCCTGGAAATGCTTAGGTCATAGTGCAGTATGAATAATATTAAAAGATCAAATCTAGTCCCATTACTGGAGTTACTCTGCCTTCTGATAAACATCCAAGAGGATTGGCATCACCAGAGTGAGAGGCTTCTGAGAAAGCAGGGAAGGGCAAGGAGCTACTAGGTATTTCTTCTGTCTTTTAAAAGACATTCTTCATTACATCATCACTGATGTTCTAGGGCAATCCCATGGGTTTTAGACAATAAAAATGACCAATAATTTTGTCTTCAATACATTGCCTTTGTGAGCAAACCACTTTAACTACAGTGGGAGGAAAGGCCTTGAGTATTCCTAAGTGCTGGGGGCTGAGTTTACACAGACTAAATTGGTGAGCTTAACAATGGTGACACAGAGAGCAAATGCTGACTAGACCAGCAATAGAAAGCAAAGGATTTTTTGTCCTGACATACATAACATGGTTGGCTTTGTGTGCTCTAAACAGCTGTGGGACAAAACCTTTTCATTAGACTGTGCCTTGTGGACCACTTTCTTCCTATGCATTTTCCTCTTATCATTCTAATTTCACTATATTTATGTTCTTCTCTTTGAATTAGTCTCTATGGCTACAACCCAGTGTAATGAAAATTGTAAGAAGAGGTCGATTCAACTAGTTAACATCATGTGTAATTTTGTATAAATATCCATTCTGTAGGATTTTGATCTCTTAAGTGCTTGGGTATTGTTCAGTGGCATAGGTGTCCAAATTCACCTGGTTCGTTGACCTTGTCTGCTGTCCTAAGTCCAGTGTCATTCAATGTATTTTCTGCCTCTTTCTTGGTGTGCTCCTCTTTTTTGGCACAATAAAATGTTATTTTCATCCTGCTGTACATCATTGATTTGTTTGTCCTTAGTTACTCTAAATGTGTGCTGGTGAGAAGTGCAATTTCTACTTAGTCCTGCAAGCTGTTGATTCAGTGGGGTAGGGCTTGAGCTTTTCTGAAAACAATCTGGATGGCAGTTGGACACCAGCTGGGTGGCGTTAGGCCAGGGGACAGCACCTGCTGTTCTCCACTCCCTTGTCAGTGTGCCTCCGGGCTTGGCTTGAGCACACACCAAAACCTGTGGCCAAATAACACTGGTGGCTGGAACAGCTACTCTCTGTACCAGGGGAAACATCTCTCAGGATAGCACAGCTAGCAACTGTTCTTTTTCTTTCAAACATGAAGGAGGAAGTGAAAGGGGAAAAAAAGCCCAACCAACCCCAGAGTATTACCATCTCATTGGTGTCAGTTCACAGTTTGGCAGCCTGTCTCTCTCCAGGTGCCAGGTGTTTGCTTTCTGGTGTGATAGAAGGGTTGCTTAGCTAGTGGTTCCAGGTGCCTCCTGACACTTTATATAGCTGGAGTTCAAAATGCAGAAAGTTCTTCTTAGGTTGTTTTCCCCCATGTTGTCTTTCTTCCATGCAAGTTTTGGAGGCAGGGAACTTCTCCCTGCAGCCTGGAATGCTGCCTTTCTCTCCACCAGTTTTTCAATGCAAAGTATGTAGAAAAATGTTAGAACAATAAGGGCCAGATTGGAGGGAGTGCTTTGAGACTTCATTTTTTGCCACTTCTTTGCAGGCCTTCCCTCCTCCCTTTCTCATCTCTGCAATACAGACTGAAGACACCCCGTATCCTTAAGGACCCCCACAGACACAGCTTTACTGGCAGATCACAGCTCAGGCTCACAACTGGTCCCTCACTCGGGTGCATGGAGAGGCAGCTTTTATCCATCCAGACTGCAGTTGGTAGTCCTTGCAGTTTAGTTGGTTACCCTGAGTGTGTCCCAAGGGGTTTATTCCTGTTTCAGGTAGTACTTTCTGGATTCACAGTTGACTAGGCCATCTGCAAGATTGATGCACTGGAGAGTTGAAACCTCACAGTGGGTGATGTGAGTGAAAGGTTTGGCTTTTCACACTTTGCCCAGAATGACTGAAGAGTAGGAGAATGGGAGAAGAGGGGGCAGATGGCTGCCACAGCAGGGCTGGCATGAGAAGTGTCTGAGTGCTGTAAGAAGGAAAAGTAAATGTCCTCATAAACAGAACCAGCTGTGCTGGAGTTTGTGAGGCCACTTATTTTCAAAGCAGACTTCAGCTGACCCAGGTTTGCATTTGTAAGAATCTTTGTGGCTGGTCAAAGTGCCATTAGTATTTAGTATGAATAAATGTTACAAGAATGTGCTAGAAGTGCTGTTTCAGCCACTCTGAAAAGTTATGGTTTTAATTATTCATTCATTAGATTAATCCAGTACTGACAGGCTGCCCTGGGTAGCTGGCAGGGAGGAAGGCAGAGACTGGAATTACCATTAGGTGACCATTCAGAGAAACAATAGAGCAAAATCTCTCCAATTTTACATGTCTTCATTTCAGCTTCGAACTTTTCATTCAGTCTGTTTTTCCATACACTCTACCCACCCCTACTCTTGTTCACTAGTCATTAGAATACCTTGTATAGCTCTTTTCTTCATCTAATGGAGACTTCTTGGATGAAAGTGTGTGTGAGGAGGAGAAACAATGAAGAAAGAGAGTGGTAATATAGCTGTTTATGGTGGCAAAGAGATGCATAATGAATTTTCAGACTACAGATTTCATGTCTTACATAAAAGTTTCTGAGAGATGAAGAATTCAGTTATAATATGGGAGGCTTTTTTTGTTGTTCTTTTTTGGGTTTTTTCTATGTGGCAAGTCATGGCCCACTTCTTCCATTGTCCTGGGCTCTGGTCCAGGACACATTTCACTATGTAGCAGGAAAGCTGCTGGGGCTACTGACAGATTAAGAAATCTCCTGAAACAAATCTCAGTCTTCCTCATGTGATCAGAATTTAAGGGTGTTGTCTCTACATTACTGAAGTAGGTGAGACTATTTCCAGTGATTTTGGTAGGCCTTGGATTGTACCCTCAAAGACAAGCCTTGCAGTTCAGTTGGTGAGTCCCAGTATTCCGCAAGAGGTGCTCCTGTGTCAGTTAGTGGCTTTCACAATCACAGCTGGTGGGGCAATGAGGAGCACTAATGCTTTCACAGTGCTTTCAGGAAAAGATTTGATGATAACATATGCATTAGTCATTGGACTGACCTGAGTTTGCAGAAATTGGGGAATAATTGTTCTACATCTAGTTTGAAATCTGTGGTCTCGGGAGTTGTACCAGTGGGAAGAAATCCAAGCAGTGGAGATTTGTTTCTTCATGTGCAGTTTTCAGCCTTTCTTCAGGTTTATGTTAAAAGTAATTTTCTTTTGATGTTTGATATCATCTAATAAATCCAGGTTGTTTGTTTATGAAGCCATTAGTTAATGTTGTCACCTGAATGTTTTCAAGTGTTGGGATTAGGAGGCTCATTGACAGGATGCTACAACAAGTCAAGTAGATTTTGTTCATAGGTAGTGTATTAACAGATCACTGCAGAAGGCAAATTTCTCGTTTGATGGTGCATTTTAATTCCAGGTTTTTATGGATGAGTCATTTTAGATGTTAAGGAGCCATGAGGTGCTGAAGTCTGACAATGCTGAGTATAAAGAGGGCACACATCCACAGTACTTGTGTCTAAACTAGCCAGATTTCAAACGAAAAAAGTACTTTCTCAAAATTAAACAACCCCATCTCATAAAGTCAGTTGTGATGTAATTAAAGTTTCCAAAGGGAGGATTTGTCAGATACTGTAATGCTGTCTACTTCTTGATTAGGGATGACTCTGATTATGGGTGACAGGATCTGCATACTGTCTTGTACAGAAATGAGATCTTCCTGTAGGCTCTATTTTTCAGGCATTACTTACAAGTTTTGCCAGTGTCACTCCAACCTACACCTTTCAATGTAAATACATTGTGCAGGTCTTAGTCTTTTCTACTTAAAATGAGTGAGTGATATTAATGAAAGTTTAAAGTTAGAAATAAGAAACATTCCATTCTGTAATAATATTTAACTTATTATTTTTATTTAAAATTACCAGTAACTCAGATTTTACAGACGCTGATGTGTCGAAAGGAAGGTTGGGGGTAGCAGTCTGTGATGTAGTAGTGGAGACCAGCTTACATATTTCATCACTTTGGAGGCTGATTCTGAGAGATTGTGACTGCTCTCTCCTCCAATTTCTATCTATAATATAAAATGCATTTTCAAAGAAATTGTGTCTTTGCAAAAGATGCAGAAGGTGGTTAGTACAGCCAGAGCTGCCAAGGTAGTGTGTTAGTTCAGATACAAATTTGTGTCCTGAAATTTCTGCGTCCTTGTGGCAACAGAACTTCAAGCAGCAGCTGAGAGCTTTAGTGGTTTCTTGTTTTATTCTAATGTTTTAAAAGAAAGTAAAATTTGCTAAGGTTTGAAAAAAAATGAAACAGCAAAACTGAATGGTTTTCCATTAAAGGAAGAAACCTGTTAGACCCTTCCTAAGCCTGTCCTACTGGGATGGCATATAAGTAGTCCAGCTGATGCAGCATCTGCTTTTAAGGCTGCATGATTGAAGTATGCCTGAAAGAAACGATAAAATAAGATACTGTCCTTGATTAATCTTAAACATCTGGAAAGAGTTTGGGGTGCAAAACCCAAACTTTTCTCAAAACTGTGGAGCATGTGCACCAAGGTCTGCTAATATGACCTTCTACGTTGTCCTTTTTATGAGTGTTCACTGGGATCACCCTTGTCTGAAGCCTTGTCTTGGCTCTCAGATCACTTACACGTAAGCCTGATGGTAAATTTTATTGGAGCAAATATAGAGGAAATGCCTGTAAGTCTCAACCTACCTCTTTTGCAGCTGGAAGAAGGAGAACACTTTGCTAAAATGGTGATAGACCTGGGTGAGGATGCTGGAGAGTCCCTAGCAAAGGGTTACCTGGCATTGGGCCTGACATACAGCCTTCAAGCTACTGATGGTGAGTTACTTGTTCATCAAGTGTTGTTATATAGAGAGCATTTGTTCCAAGTCTTTAGTGCAACCAATGGGAATTTATTAGAAAATCTGCCTTCAGTGCTGACTAGACATGAAAAACAATTAGATCACAAGATAAATGGGAACTGTTCATGTGCTCAGAGAACTGTCTTCTGTGGTTATAAAAGTGAAGTTATTAGGTAAAGGAAGAAATGCAGGTCATTACTTAGGGGCTGATAATCTGAGTGTAGCTGACAATGCTTGGTGTGCTTTACTTTAGTATTTGTAATACTTTTTTTCACTTAATTTACACAACAAAAAGTCAGACTTTCCATCTGTTTTCATATTTTTGTCACCCACTCATAAATCATAAAGAAATACAATCCAAGAATTGGAGTCAGAAATGCCTCACTTCAGTTCCTGGCGTGATACTGATTCCCCACAGAGATTCAACCTCTCTGTGATGTAGTTTCTTTTACTTAGAAGTAAACAAGATAAAAATATCTACCTCACTGGTACATGTGGATGTTGACTAGAAACAGACCACTGACTGTAAGAAGTATTTCATTTTAATTCTGCTTACTTGGATTTTTAATGGGTGGACAAGGGGCTCCTGCAGATTTGGTGCTTTGTAGTTAGGAGGGCTTGAAGTTTTTGGGAGAGTTCTACCTCTGACCTTCATCAAACTCACAGGTGGGAACAGTCTTTGTTTATTCTGGGACTTCTAACATAGGTGAGCATGTGTTCTAACACATTTTCTTTGAATAATGGCTGAGCTGGTGTGTTTCCTAATAATTTTGGCACTCCTGCCCTCAGGCAAGCAATGGCTTTTCTGTCATAGAGGTTCCATAGAAACAAACCAACTTCTTCAAAGTTGATTCAGCAAAGAAGCCTGAATCAAAGCCAAAATTACTCTATCATATTATCATGGAATATGCAGGCCTTGCAACTTATACCAGAATTCTGCAAGGCATGTGTCTGAGAAAGTGTTCTTGTGCTCTTCAGTAGCACAAGTTGGTGTAGTTTTTCAGCCAGCCGTATCTGATCAGCTGTTCTGAGAGCTGCTTTTCATCATGGAGGCCAACAGGCACTGCAGCTCTTTGCAGCTCTCCATTTCTCTGCCTCAGAGTAGTTCTCCCTAAAAAGTTCATGTCCAAAAAGTATGTCCTTCCTAGCGTGAACTATGTCTTACATATATATTTTAAGTCCACTAGGAATAGGGTTCTGCTTAACAGCCTAGTTTTTAAGGCATTTTGCCTAGATGTTGTTTAAACTATTGTAAAGCTATACAAGACCCCATAGACTATTTTCAGGGATAGGAGGTTTTCTATGTCAGCCCCTTATGATCTCTTTGTAAACTTCAGTATGAACAGAAGGTGGTTTGTAAAGAATAGAGAACCATGTACTATACTCTAGATCTAAAAATATTTTGGCACAGCAAAATGTGAGTTGGAAAATCTTTTTCTGGAAATCTCTTGAGTTTTCAGAGTTAGTTAGAATAGACTAGTTCAATATTATGTCCTTTTTAATGTAAAACAGCCTTCACAACAACTGCCTTGGATTATTTTCAGATTAGCCTCTGATTTATGTTTTGAAACAGCAGAATATATCTTCCTTCTCATCGTATCTCTAGCCTTTGAGGCAACAGGACAAGTCACTCGGTTACTGGAGGGAAGTAGGAAGAGTATATTTCCATTTTGCAGATTATATTTTAATAAAATGGATTAAGTCTTTCAAAAGCATACACGTGATGGTCATGAATATGGAACTGTGTTTCACTGGAAAATGTCAAATTTGCACTAGCAAGACATTTTTCATTAGCATTGTTAAAAAATAGCGTATGACAGCGAGGGAGCAAAGCTAGAACATGCTGAAAGACAGCAGTTCTGTGATGTAATCCTGCCTCATGTTGTCAATCTTGTTTATCACTGTATTTATACCAGTTCTTACTGACATATGCAGACAAGTCAAATATCTATGTGTGTGTATATATGAGATTCCTGTAACTTCATAGCTGAGTTTCAGTAAATCAGTATTTTCAGTGGTAGCTAAGTGTCTCAGAGACATTTGACCAATTGCCTTCTAAAGCTTTCAGCCTTCCATCCAAGTTAGACTTTCGTATTTAATATAATCTTCTAGTAATTATTTTTCCTCCTATGTGACAGAGGCACTGAGGAGTTGTATTAAAGCCTTTTCTTTGTGATTTGCAAAAAGCTCCTGTAGGAAGTATGATTTCCTGAAACTTACCCTGGTAAGCTTCCTTATTCTTAATGTTTAATTTCATGTTTCTTGAAATAAGTCTTATTGAAGTAGCTGAACAATGTGTCATCAGAGGAAGCCATTGACACTTTTACATTTTTGCCTCAGTCCTAGAAGCCCAAGCCTCCTGTGCATAGTTAATATTCGTTTTCTGCAGATCAATTTCCAGTGGGTCAATGCCAACAGCAAACCATTTGCCTTCCTCCCACATTTCCAGTTTTGACATAAGCTGTGTTGTCAACTTTTCCTCCCTTAGGTTTGATGAAGAATTCACTGAAGACAGGGAAAGGTGACATGAATTTACCAAAGGCTGAAGAGGAAAGACTAGGTTGAGAATGTATTGTGAGCAAATGCTCTTCTTCCCTCACATCACCATCTCACATATTGTGAATTCTTTGTAGATGTAACAGTCCCTCATTATTTTTTCAGAGATGAGTGTGCTGTGTCTGTTTTTTTTTAGAATTTTGGTAGAAGGTCATGGATCAGGGACTGAATTAGAAACTCATTCTATCAGTCTTTGTGGATTTTACAATCAGGGTACTGGCAGCACTGGTTAATGTTAAGCCCCCCTGTTTGTTCACAAAGAAGTGAATAAATTATTAGTGAACAAACTTACAGTCTTTGCTTTTGGAAATAACAGTGCATGCAATCTTTAATTATAATTCTGGACGCTAAAACTGTATGTTGTGTCATATTAGATGTATTAACACAAGGGAATAGTTTCTGAAACTCAGTCATATTTGCAAAAGGGTGCCTGCATGTCAGTGTTTTACTTTGGATCAGAAATTTATTTATGAAGTCCATTTATCTGTCATCCCCACTTCTTACATTGTGATTCACATAAAGGAACAGTTTTGCACATTACAAACTGAATCCTTTCCCACAAAACAAATGTTTTACATAAATAGACCTGACTATGCTTCAGCTGCTAATGGGTGCTCAATCCACTGGACAAGATTAGAACTAGATTCCTGTCCCTATGTTTGTAGAGTTGTTTCTGATCCTTGGCACTGTTTCATTCCATGAATTCAGTACTCCTACTGTGCTCTAACTGCTTTTACTAAGACAGAACTTGTCCTCTGTTTTTAAATGTGATCCAGAGCTTTGTATTTAGGTACAAAATACTGCTGAAGAACCTATTGAATTTTAGTAATGCTGAAGCTGCTTTAAAAACCCAGAATGCTTCAGAAAATAAATATTGGGCTGCTGAGGTGGCATTTGCAAAAGTAGTGTGTCTTACGGGTTTCAGAAACCCCCTGTGCCACTCTCCCATTGGTCAGACTGCTTTTGGAGCTTATTTTAATCTTAGTAATAAGTCACATTTTGTTTTATTTGGTGAAACTGCAGCAGCCATGCTCTCAGGAAGTAAAATTGGGTAGGGACTGAAGAATTCTTTGGTGTGATTGACCTGGCAGAATGGAGCACAAATTTTAAAAGTTTAATCAGACCCACCAGGTTCTGTTCCCTTAGTACAAACTTTTCTTTGTCTGAAGTGAGAGCTTCTCAGAGATACAAGTGGGTTGCAGTTTTCTTTGAGTAATTCAGGGGTAGGGCATCTGCAACATCTTTGGGCAGCCTGTTTCATAGTCTTGCCACCCTCCTAGTAAAGAATTTCTTCCTGTATATAATCTAAATCTTTCCTCTTCTAGTTTAAATCCATTACTCCTTGTCCTGTCTTTATAGGAACTGGTAAAAAATAACTCTGTCTTTCTTAAAAACCCTCTTGAAGTATTAAGAGGGTGCAGTAAGGCCGCCCTTGGCCCTTCCCCTGGATGAAAAACGCCAACTCTCTCAGCTTTTGAAGATGCCTTCCAGCCATTTTCATGGCACTTTTTTGGATTTGTTCCAATGGAACCATGTCTTAATGTTGTGGATGCCAGAGCTGCACACAGCATTCCAACTTTGTGGTAGCATCTTTGAAGATGCAGTCCATATTGTGGGAGGTGGGAGTCACCTGCTGTTTCCCAGTAATGCAGAGGCAAAGCTGACTAGCTGTAGAGTAATCACATCATTTCCACAACATATTTTGTGTTCTTTCTGGCTACAAGCTGAGCATTAGTCAAATGTCTTAACAGGTGGAAGCTCGACATTCTAGTTTTCCATTTGGTGTTTAATTTAAGGGACAAATGGTAACATTTCTTTCAGTCTTTCTTGTTGTGTGACAACTTAGAATTGCTCTGTAACTTAAAGAATGGTAGTTTCCATGAGAAACAGAATGTCGGATTTTTTTCTGTAGGAATGTTTATAGGTATTATCTAATCCTTTCCAATGTCTCCTCAAGCATTTTTGTTTACATCAGTCGTTCTGATGTAAACAAAATTTTTTATTCTTTAAATTTTTTTTCCACATTTTCTTCCTTTGTTACCTTTATTCAGTATTTTGCAGCCTGATTTTAGGCTACTGAGAGTGATGTATTCTTAATAGATGCTGCATTTTTCATGAAAGTCCATGTCTTTAAATTTATTATTTAAAATACAAATTTTTGGATCAGTTTTTAATCTTGGAGTAGGTTTTGTGGCCTAAGCAAGTTCTGATCTTTATGATTAGGAAATCCTGAAGGTTGCTGTTCCTCCCAAATGAACCTGCTGTTCTGAAGAACCGTTGGAAGATGTATAAATAAAAAAAGTCTGGTCACTATAGCTACTGCAGCAAATAATTTACTTACAAAATTTCACTTGCTGTCATATTGCAGAATGCAAAGAAACTGGTTACGTTTGCAGGTCTTGCAGAAGAACACGTCTCTTTTCTTCTTAATAACTTTTAAGAATATTTGAATTTCACTGTCTTTGTTGTATTATTATATACTACTTAGTCGTTTTCTGTTTTGGAACATACACTGACTTGATGTATCAAATCAGATACATTCATGGGTGATGTTTGCTGATGGATAAACTACTCATCACTTCCTTATGCTGTTGACCAATAGCTCTCAATTTCAGGATAGGCAGAACAAGAAACAACTGCTATGCAAAATAGGAAAGCCTAAGAACCAGAACAAGACAGCCAATGCCTTTCTAAAAACCATCACTAGGTTTCCAGATGTTTTGGATCTGAGAAAGCCATGTTCCTTTAAGCTCTTCCTCTGTTCCTGTTGGTCTTGATGATATCTTACAGGTATAACAAGAGCCTGATTCTTCTCTTCCTTTTCTGGTTTTAGGCAGGAATTAATTTATACATTGACATGTTTGTACTGAGTAGGATCCACTAGTCAAGCAATTAGAGGCATGGAAGAAGGGCTAATGCCGCATCTTAAGTAACTTAAAAGTCTGTTGTGGTCTCAAAGATGGTGGTGTTTTGTCACAGAGCTGTAAGTTTGGCTGCTGGTGCTCCCTGTTCAACCTGCAGCACGCTCCTACACGAAGATGGTGGTGGGGGCAGTCTGTACCTGGGTCAGAATGTGATGCAATTACTGCTTGTAGCATTTGCAGCAGTCTGGCTGATGGCCTTCTCTAACTAGATACCTTCTTGGTATCTAATTAGTGTTTAACCCCTTCTTCCAGCCGCCTTCAGTGGCATATGTAAATAAAAAATGCTTTAGTATTTCAAACAAAGGACTTAAAATGATCTTTAATAGGAATGAATTTGAGAATTCATGTCAAAATGAGCACATGCACAGACACACAGAGATTTCCATAGCGTTTATGCTCACGGGTTGAAATACTCTATACATTTATTTATTTGATCTGCTTAAATGGCATTGTATCTTGTCCTACAGCAACTCTAAAGAGCGCTCAGGATGAATTAAACAAGAAAGCACTTCAGACTTTGGAGAGGTGAGTAGGAATTTTGCAGATACTTGCTTTGTGTATTTTTTTCATTAATTCAGAAAAATTTTTCTTTCTGTGTTTCTTTTTTCTCTGCGTAAGGCTTCCTTGCTGGAAAGTTTGAAAACAGTTCATTAGGTTTCAGGAGTAGTCTGTCAAAACCATTTCTGTGATGGCTAAATGCAATGATTATTTGATTGAATATCCAAGGTAAGAGTGCTGTTCTGCCACCTTACAGAAAAAAACCTTAGCCCCAAATTAGCTGCAGTGAGATCTATGGTGCTGGGAGATTCAGCTTCCTCATATGATGCCAGCTGGCAGACGTGGAAATCTAATTTTGTCTCAATTCCTGTGTGAAGCAGGCTTAAAATCCTATTTCCGTTATGGTGGGAAAGTACCTCCACCATCAGGGTGTAGGCAGCTATGGGGTGACCTGGCACCAGTGCACCTAGGGGAGAGAATAATGGTTGTCCTAATGAGTGTTTACATGAGCTGTTGTTGGAAGAGGAGGTTCCAGAGCTGGTAGTACAAAGCAGGCACCACTCATCTCTCCTTCATCCCTATATTTCTGGGGAAAACTGATATAATGGCTCCACCCTGGAAGCAACTGTGAATTACACTCTTGTACAACTACACTTGAGACCTCGAGTACAACTGTTTGATTTAAAACCTGTTTTTCTCCATTCTGTGGGGTAGAGAGGTGAGGTGTGAGCTTCCTCACTCTGTTATGATTAAATTACACCACCCAAAATATACTGGGTGGTGTTCAGGCAGTTATTTACATTTGTACAATTACATTCAAAATTTGCAACCCACTGTAAATGTAGATGCCTACAGACTGTAGATAGCAATTGAATGGAAGCTTATGTGGTCTAAGTCTTGGGCTGAAATCTAATTCTGAGCTTGTTGTGGTTGTAATTACATAAGTGAAGAAAACGTGAGATCTCTGCTGTCTCAAAGTACAGGTTTAACAATTTGAACAATGTTAAAGGATCTTAGCTGTTTTGCTGATGCTGACCAAGAAGGAGGCCAGCATGTTTGTCTTACACTGGTTTTGTAGTGAATGCAAGAACTGAAACCACAGATAAAATTCTGGGTATTTACCTTATGGAGGTCTGAGAGAGAAAACTTCTAAAAGCCATTTATTCATTCACTGTTTGGATGAGGAGTGTGCTTTTACTTTTGGTCACACTAGTTTGTGGGCTCCAGTGTCGTACATTAACTGCTGACCAATTTTAAGGAATTGTGGTGCTGCACTGCTTTTAAACTTCTTTGTTTTTTATCCTTTGACTTTTCCCATTGGCTGTGACTTGTTTTCATGGTATCTTAACTCTGCCTAGGAGGCAGACAAGCTTCCAGCCAAACATTAGTTACTCAAACATCAGCCAACAGGAATGTGACAGTGAACTGATTACTAGTGTTTTCCTAAATGCCTAAGTTTGGTTTCCTTCATTTTTGTACCTTCCTTGTTTTTTGCCTTTTTTTTGAAGAACATGTATGATCTCTCAGGCCATGGTTTGGCCTGTAGTCATCTCTGTAAGGGGCCTTTTCAGCTGGAAGATTGCACTAAATGTTTTTCTAATTCCTTCTGAGAAAAATGAGCAGTAAAGGAACAATCCTTTGTTTCTTTCCAAAAGCACCATTAATTTAATCTGCTATATTCTTGTGAACTTTCCCCTGTTATTTATTGCTGGAAAGGCTACTGAAGGTTTCACAAGAGACACTTTGTAGAGAGGTGGCTCACCCTGTCTAACACCCGAGGGCAAAGCTGAGTTCTGTGGAGTTTTATTGTTTGTTGCAATTTTTGGGGGGATTGGGGATTTTTTTGGTGGGGGAGTTGTGGCTATTTGGGTTTGGGAGTTTTTTTGTGTTTTTTGAAGTGGAAGGAGAAATTAGTGACTTGCCTGTATTAATTGCACGTTGATGTCTTTGGCATTGCTTCAGAACACTTGAGTGCCACCTTGACTTACAGAGTTACAGGACGTATTCAGTCCATAATAAATTAATTTTCTCTAGAGCCACTAGTTATAAAAATCAGCTTCAAAATCTTCTTGCTCACAGGCCAAATGGTATTTAAAAAGTGGCTGCCATTAAAATGGTGTGTGGTTTTTTTCCTGAAGGAATTATTTTACTGCTACTTGTTTATTATTAGCAAATCAATAGTTTTGGCATGGGTTTTAACCACTAGCCTTGTCAGCCTGTCGTTTCTCCCTCATAAGGACATTAATTGTGCTCACTTTGGACCTGGCAGTGCAGGTGCAGGTTTCCCTGGTGTCCTGGAATGCAGCCCAGAAAGAGGTCAGGAATGTTAATTGGCTATGAGGGACCTTCCTCTTCCCCATTTCTCCCATGTGAAATGACTTCCCTGTGCTGCAGAGCTGTGAGTGAGCTCTGTGAGTCACAAGGAGAGAAATCCACTGGTTCCTGGAGTGGGCTGCCAGGTGACATGAGCTGCTGCCCCACCTTTCCTCCTAGGTTGGGTTCCCCAAGAAACTATCCCATCATTGCCTTGGTTAATGGCTTCTCCACAGGCTGGCAAATTCAGACTGCAAGTTTGTGCCTAGCATAGTCTGAGAGGGGACAGTTCTGCCCAGGTTGTCCATCCCTATTCCCTGCCTTGTACAAGACTTTGTTAAGGGCCTGCACATCTGGTTCTGGAGACGCTGCAGCCTTCTCTAGCCAAGGCTTCACTTCAGTGTAGTGCCTGCTGTGGGCTGGAAGGGAATATCTCGGAGTCCAAGCTTGACAAGTGAGGGCTTGGTGTTGGTCCAGGCACAGCTCCTGTCATCAAATCGTTCCTCCTTCAGTGTCTTCCCTTTCCAAATTAGGAGTCTGCTGTCAAAATTAAACTAGAAGCTGCAGGGTGGAGAATGTTTTGTATGTTTGAGCCCCAGCTTGTGTCAGAGGCTCCTGATATTTAGTCCTCTACATGCTCATGGTGACTACTTTTTCAGTGCTAATCTAACCCTCTCTTAATGTTTGAAAAGAGGCAGTATAGGAACAAGTTAGACAACTATATCTGTCACCTGAATTACGTAAAATAATGCTTTGATAGGTTTGTTATGCGCTCAGTGCTACTTTTTCCATATTAGTTATCCAGCTTCCAAAATATTAAGTGGCATTAATAAAGGAGCATGTAAGTTGTATAACATACTGGCAGCTGTGTTTCTCATACTTTTTCCTGGGATTCTGGCTTAGCCAGGCCAGCACTGTTCTGCTTTTTGTCTAGTTTCAGTGTGCTCCCCTATTACTGGACTGGTTTTCTGTGGGGAAAGACTGGGTTTTGTTCTGTGCTTCTGTGACTCATAGCGAAGGTGTTCTGCAAAGGGCAATCTAACAGTCGCTTTTCTTTTTCTCTTATGTGGTCTTCCTTAAAGAGCACATGACCTGGCCCCCGAAGATCACCAGATCATCCTCTACCTGTCACTGCAGCTGGCTCTTGTCAGACAGGTATGTGAAATATTTGGAAATCACTGAGTCACGGGAGGGTGGAAGGACAGTCCAGTTGAACAGGACCCAGGCTTGCTAAACAGGGTCCCTTCCTTCCTGCATTGTAACCGGTAACAAGCAGTCAGAATATGTTTATGCAAAATATTTTTTAATTCTTACTCTAAAAATAATAATTCTGTAGCACATGGAATGGCCTTCCCTAGGGAATGTGTTCAGCTCTAGCTCCTGAGCAGTCTTGGAGCAGCCCTGAGTGTGTGGGATGAGCGAGGTGTGCTTATTCCTGTTCCCTGGTGTCACGCTGTGTCCCGCTGCTGGCTGCTCCAGAGGCTCTCCCGCTATGCTGGGTTCCGTATCGTGCCAGATCGCGCGCTGGGATTGCTTTATTCCAAACTTGGGCACGTTTGACGCGGGGCTTTGACGCGTGCTGGAGCTCTGCAGCGAGTGGGATTAGTTGGCATTTGAATGCTGCTGCAGGTGTTAACTCATAAAAATGAAGCTGATCAAAAAATGCTCTGCACTGCCTTTAGGGAAAAAAAAACCAACCACTTGGACTGTGCTTTATTTTTCTGCCCCTTTTTCTTAAAATTGGGGTGTTGAATTTCTCTGTCCTTTCTGTTTGAAAGCTAAAGTCTTCTTTGGAGCAGCTTCTGTTTTTAAAATACCTCTCTAGCTAGATTTGAAATTTCATCATTGTAGTTTCTTTGTTTGGCAGGCCTTCTGCTTGCTGCAGTTTTCTCTCCTTGGTCTACACTACAGAGTTGAACAGTTGGGTATTTCTTACTTTCCTGAGCTAATTAGGGGAGCTGTGTGTTCATTAGGTTAAACTAATTGTTCCAAGAGAGCACCCTCTTGATAATGTCACTTTTGTAACCCTTTCATAATGAGAGCAGTGTGCTGTGAGCCTGCAATAAGAAAGGATAATTAAAATGCTTTATTTAACTTTCTCATCTGCCTACTGGCTGCTTTATGATGCAGTTTGCTCAGGGTCTTTCATTAAAGAACACCCAGCTACCCTTTTTTCTCACAGCTTTGGCCTCACAGGGAGATGGTCTGATTTGCCGCCCCTTCTGCTTGCCATGAGTAAAGCATTACAGCTTGAATATATCCTGAAAAATAAAATTAAGATTTTTGCGGTCATTGTTTTTTTGTTGTTTTCACTGTTACTGGCATTTTAACTCATTACCCTTTTTTTTTTCTGGTTGTAGCCTGTCTTTGCAGTGTTGTTTCATCTCTCTTGTTGCTTCATTTCCCTTCCCTCCTGTTCTTTCCATTCAGTCTCTTGTCCCCATGTTCACTTTCCTCTTTTGTCTAGTTCACCTGTGTGTTTTCATCCTTGATGTTGTGCCAGTCGCCTCTGCTCCCACAGCTGTGTGATCTCAGTGTATTATGTAGTGTCAGCCTGACCCCTGCGATGGTGCTCCTGCTCTGCTCCCATCAAGTGAGATATAAATCTTTAACGCATGCTTGGACAGAGAGGAGATACCTGAGACATCTTTATTTTTAGACTGCTGTAAAATACCCTACTCTTCTTTTGCCGGTTTACTTAATGGTAAACATTTGGTAATGCATTTTTAATATCCTTAATTATTTAAAGTATCTAATATATTCTCTTTCTGATTAACCGAAGGATAAATGATACCTTTTTTGATAGATTGCATTAACTATTGAACATCACAGTTGGGGCTTTCATCAGGCAATGCTATAATACCAATAAATCAGGCCTTTTCTACATAGTAGGTTATAATATAATACCTGAATGACTATGGAAACAAAAAGGCCTATTTACTGAGAAAAACAGAGTCAATAAATGAGGTAACTGCACCCAGCATTGAAAAATATAGGTATCAGCTTGCATAGATAAGAGAGTGTTTTCATGGAACAAAGCAAGAGAGGCAGCTGACCAGTAGAGTGCCAGGCAAAGCTGGAGCAATTAATCTTCCTTGGAGGCTGTAAAATATTTCCAATAGTACTTGTCTCTGTCACCACTGAGCAAGGCAAAGGGGAAATGGAAAAATATAAGCATCCCTCTGACATGAGATGAGGATGTGACAGAGGAGGAATGGTTATAAAAGGTTCATGCAGAGTTGGCATTTGAAACCACCAGCAACCAAGATAAAAAATGATGATAATGAACTTTGTATGTGTGTGTGTGTCTTCAGGACCACTGGAGTCACTGGGAAGACTTGGAGGGTCTACATCAGCCCCAGGGTGTTTTAGTGGATTTTTCAGCCAAACACAGTGTAGAATAACACGTTCTGTGAGGAGGGTCTCTCAGTCTGGTTTTCCCCCTGAGCTGAAGTCTCAGGAGGCCAAGGTCTGTACCTGCTGCAGTGGATATCTCCGCCTGCAGTGCCTGGCTGGCAGAGCCCAGCGACAAATGAGACTTGTAGCTCCCAACTCACAGTGGCTGGTTCGGCTGCTTCTCCTGTTTCTGTGGTAACAGCACTTGGATCAGCAAAAACAAGGTAGAATGAACATTTTAAAGCTGACTGATTTTAATGCATTGCCTTGCTTTTTAAAAAGCAGACCAGTTTCTATGGAAATGACTCTCTAGAGTCAGCAGCACTCTTGTTAATTTTGTGTTGAATCCGTTTTTTGAGGGTGGTGGTGTTTGTGACCTTGACTGCCATGTAAATCAGTACTGAATATGTAAAAACAACAAATATAGCCATCATGCCATTTTAATACTTGATTAGATCTTTCTTTTAATGAGAATGGAAAGGGAAGGATGGCTAAGGGTCAGCAGTTGAGCACTGCAAGTCTCACCAGTTTCCTGTGGACTTCCAACAGACCTCAAGTTTCAAGTGGCACTATCCAGAAAACACCTACTTCCTTCCCAAGTGTCCGGGTGTACAGCTAAAATAAACATCAGTTAAGAGACCAGAGAAAATGTTTCACCTGTTTTGCCCAGTTTTTGTTTGGTTTCAAGGAGGAGAGACTGCTATCTCCTGAAAGAGAGGAGTTCTGTTTTAGGAGGTATTCAAGAGGTGTTTCTTTCAGTGACTGCTTGGATGTAGGTAGTTCTGGTCTGTCTTTTTCTCAGACCACCAACTGCCTCCTCTGCTGAACAGCAACATGTTGCTTTTCTGCCTACATCCCAGCCTAGATTGTTCTGGTGATCAAGAAAGACTTGTAGGAAGAACTAAGTAATAACCCATAGATGTATACCTGCTTTCCTGAGGTTTTGGTGAGCTGTAGCAAGCCTGTTTTCAATGGAAGCGCTTGCCAGTCAGTAAAGCTTTCTCCTTTCCATGCTATAAAAAGAGATGGAGTGGGTAGCTGTAATGGTTAATTAAGTGTAACTGTCAACTGATGTGAAATTATAAGGCCTGAAAATTCCTCTTAAGGGTTCCTGTTTCATTTACCATTTTAAATATCCAAGTTCATTCGACTGTTAGGAATACACTCATTCTGTTTTCCTTTTTATACCTATAATTGTGATGTACCAGCATTGTTTTTAAGGAGACATATAGCATTATTGAAATAAATCCTACTATATAAGAGACAGCCTGAACAATCCATATTATGGCATTATTTTGGTAATGCTGCAAGATGCTATTTCTGGCCTACTGCAGCGTCTTTGCTTCCTAATCAGTGTGATGTGAAGATACCTGTGTGCCATGCAAAACATGTGGTATATTTGTTAACAGAATGATAAATCAGGGAACTGTAACTTCTTCTAATTGTAGACCTTACTTAGACTTGCAGTCCAGCTGAAATAAGATTATTTTAAAGTGCAATATTGTAGGGAATTTTAAAATGGCAGCCTGCCTCTGATAAAGCCCTCATGTTTCAGGGTGCCATCTGGGGTGGCACCAGCTTCCATCTTTCTCAAATTATATAGTTACTTAAATAAAAATACATCTTTCAAAAGAAGTTTGTGTTGACTGCTGCCAAATATCTTGCTTTTGTTGATCTGTAAATTTAGTTTGTATTTCATTGCATATGGTCTGTTGCAGGTTGTTGCTTAACATAATATTTTCTTTAAAGGCATAAAGTTCATATTATTTTTGTCCACTGTTTCTAATTATGCAGCAGTACATTAGTGTAGGCTACTAATGGTATTACAGCACTAAGGAGTCTTTTTGGACTCAAGTTAATAAATTAGGTGCCAGGGAAGCATCATTAATTTTCAAAGCCAGCCTTTACCTGTGTACTCTGATGGTACTAGGGGGAAGCACTGAAATGAGATGTAGCCATTGCAGGCCCCATGCTGCAGAACAGAATTACTTGAGATGATGTTTCTTTCAGCAGTATGTGGCTGTCTGTCCAGCAGACCCAGGTTTGCAGGAGTGACCACAACTTGATTTTTTCTGCTCTGTTTCATATATGTTGCAACAGAGTCGGAGAGCTTCTGGGATGGCCAGCCTCTGATAGGGGTATGGACCTACCTGCAGTTTGATCCTAAGTGATTTTCAACACATAAAGCGAAGTCTCAGTTTGTGTATTCACATGTAAGGTCCCCTACCATTCTGAAGTCCTTCAGCAAAGCAAGTGTTGTTCTTTGCCTGATTCATACTAGCAAATTAGGATCCCCTTCCTAAGTCTTAATCATAGAATAGGTTGAGGAGGACCTTTAGAGATCACCCAGTTCAATCCCTTCTCAAAGCAGGATCATCTGGATGATGTTGCTCCAAGTCTTCTCCAGTTGTTTGATTTGCAGGTTTCCTTCTAATGAGCTTTTCCCCAAACTTGTATTTTCTTTATGAGTACTTGTGCAGCTCTGAGACAGAGAAATAGAAGAGTTTTTTAGTCCTGAGTGCAAGAACTCTTGACAGCAGCTTTGTTTTAGCAAGTCAAATTTATATACCTCTGGTATATCTACTGAAGAACTTTGTGGACAAGCAGATCTGGGCCCACCACTGTCTGGTCCTGGCTCCAAGTCGTCTTGTCATTGCTAGAATTTTTATATTGTATGAAAATGTGTTCTAGTAAACTGCTGAGGGAACATGGGTGATTAAGCCAATGTGTTTACCTTTGCAGTAGGCTTTAATAACACATGTAGTTAAAGTAGCTCCACTGACAAGCAGTAATTCATTAAAGCTGAGCAATCAGTCATGTATCCCAGTCTGAATCCAAGCCAGGACATTCAGCAGTTTTGATGCTGTGGGCCAGATGCCAGTTTGGGGTTATGTCTGGAGCAGTCACACTGATCTCCAGGCTTACATGGAGTCACCAGTAATACAGTCGTTAAATATCATGGCTCATGTGTGCACAGCAAGAGAGAAATGTCACTTGGACATTAGGATGAAGCTGTCCTATGAACAGAATATACACTGCTCCCAGAAGGATACCTGGGCTTTAGATAATCAACCACCTCTGTTGTAGCTGCAGGCAGTGTCATTGTTGCTTTCTTTAGTTATGTGCTACTTGTTTTTGTGAGAGGTCTGTGGAGGCGGTGGGAATTTGACAGTGCTGGTGTGCCAGGGTAGAAGAATGTCTGTAAAGCTTTGCTAGGTGGGAAGTTCTCATAGTAGAAAAGAAGGAACTACATTCTCCATCCATTAAGAGAAGGAGCAGGAAAGCATACATGAGGAAAAAACATTTATACACTTCTATGCTTTGTTTTCTGCAGATTTCCAGACCCACAGAAATGAAATAATTTATGTAACAGTAATTTCAGACACTGAAGAATCTTAAAGAAAATCCTCTACATAAAACTTACCAGTAAACAAATGAAAGAAAATCTGCTAAGTTTGCTTTTTGAACAGATAGCCTAAAATAGTGTACTGGATCACAAAGAGTGTGTGATAGACTTGCATTCATTATAGATGTTAAGTTTTCTGCCAAGTGAGACTTGGTTCTAATAACATGCTGCTGCTGTGATTGTCAGGATTGCTCTTTACATCACTGCTTGCAAATATATTTCTTTTTCTGACGGCATTTTAAATCTTGACTCTTTTACCCTTGAACGTTCAAACTTGATTTTTATTTTCATGATCCAAATAATGGAAGGCTTTGTACAGCCATTATGAGAGGCAAAATGCAGCAGACATGTGCAATGCTCACCCCCAGGTGAAGAGCCAGCCACTCATCCTAGAAAATGGAGCTGAGAGTTGGGCATCTGTGGTGGATATGTTTACATCATAGAATCACCATGCCAAAGGATGAGGGGGTTGATGGGATCAGGTCTGCAGCTCTTATTTATAAGCAGTGATTTAGTAATACTGCAGACTTCTTTCTCTAGAATGTGTGGGTTTTTTTCAAGCACTGCAGTCTGTTAATTTTGGCAGCCTGTTTTGATAGTAGAAGGTGCCTAAGCAGAATTTCTTCAGAATTTCTATTTACTCTGTTTGTTCTTATTTTTGATGTATAATGTAGGACTGAAAGAGTGATATGTTCTCTTGTTATTTCTACCCTATCTCCTTCTAGATTTCAGATGCTATAGACCATCTTCAAGAAGCTCTGCAACTGTGCAAAGATGACATGAATTCACTTCATCTACTGGCCCTCCTCTTTTCAGCTCAGAAGCACTATCAGCATGCACTGGATGTTATCAACATGGCTGTTGTTGAATACCCAGAAAGCTTTAGGTAAGAGTTGTTGCCTGGTGCCAAGCATCCAGTCAGGAATGAACTGCTCACTAGCTGTTGTTCTCAGTTGTACACAAGGCGCCTGTTACAGGTGTGTCACTCTCCTCCTGGGAAGGGTATTCTTTTACTTGCTGTCTTCACGGTCTTTCTGTAATCCTCACACTTGCTTTCTTTTCCAGTATTTGTCTTTCTGTATTGTGCTGATGGTGTTGTTTCCTGTAGTTTTTTGTATTACACTTCAGATGTGGAGAAATGAGTGTGAGACAACTATATCAGTGTCTGTATCACAAGTAATTTTATATTTGGTAACTCCCTCGTTAAAAACAAATTTTTCTTGCAATGACCATTGTTTTGATGCTCCTCTATGACACAATTTGCTGCAATGTGACAGCTGGGGAAAAAGATTAGTTGAAAATCACAAGCTGTGATAATGTGTAGCTGAGAGGAAGGACGATTTGCCTGCCTAGGAGTAGGTTTGAATCAGCACAGACTTCTTGGAGCCAAAGGCTTCCACTGTTCTATGTTTGACTCAGTCCCTCATCCATCTGAGGGAGGTAAATTGAATTCCATGCAATTTACTGTCATGACCTTTCAAAACAATGAATTTGTCTGTTCTGTGCAAAAATTAAAGCTACTGTATCATTCTCCGGTGATTTCATACTAGCTGAGTTTCTCAGCCACACTGCAGAAAATCCTATTGCATTTCTGGAAAACCAACTTTCATTTGGAATTGCCTGTGCTTAAATAGCGTTCTAAACCTGTGCATCCTTGTCTTTAGATAGCCTGCATTCTCAGTAGCAAGAGGGAGCAGCCTCCAGAGGTTTAGTCCAGAAGCTGAGTGGAATATTGTCTAAACAGAGCAAAGGCAGGTCATAGGAAGTTTGAGGCTGTGTAAATGTGAGCTTGAATGCTTTAGGATCTTTCAGTGCTGTATCAGTATATAATGTTTTTATTGCAAACTACATGTTGCCATTTAAAATAGCTTTGCTGCCTGTGTTTTTGAGGTTAGTTACTTTGTGTATGTGAGGAGTTAAGACTGCATTTCTTTGAGAATGAAGTGGAAATTAGTAATGGAAATGCTTTTAAGATGAAGCCAGCTCTACTCTTTAGATTGTGAACATAGGTATGACTGAAGCAGGAAATAGCCCAGTGGCTGCTGAATTGTATTTTAGGGTTTTAAAGTAACAAACAAAGTAAAAACCCCTCATACAGTCAAAGGTCACATGAACAGTTGGAGATCAGATGTTTGTTGAAGACTACAAAAAAACACCTAAAGATACACAAGACACAGGAAGAGGTTGTTTATGTTAGGAGAAGAGTGTTTGCCTTGTCCAATTGACTAACTGGTCCATCATGTCCTGGATCTTTCCCCCAGCAGTGACTGATTATTTATGTTTCAGGGGAGGACAACACATAGCAAGCATTGTATGCAAAGTAGCTTGGAGGGCTGCTGGGTGGGTTCCTTTGTGCTGTCTGATAATCTGATTTCCCCAAAGCTGAAAAGACTATTATCTCTTATGTTTCTGTGAGTGCAAATTCTGATTTGCACAAAGACCTTTGCCAAAGAGTAGCAGAATAGGTTGTTTCTGATAGAAACAACTAGTATTGGTAGTGAAGGCCCAGGTTTGTGCTTGCTCCTAGACACAACCTTGCTAAAGTGTGTGCCCTTGGAAGGGCCCCTCTTTTCTCCCCTGTTACACAGGAGTGTGTAACAAGGCTGACAGTGAGACTCATTCACAGGTACACATGGATGGAGGAATAGGAGCTGGCTTCTTGCCTCTGCTGTGCGACTGCCCTGTATCCATGTGGGTCTTTCTCTTGACCAGCCAGCAAATAACTCATGAGTGAGGGAATGGAGAAAGTATGTCAGAGTTGCAAGGCAAGAAAAAAGAAAAAAAAAAAGCTTAAAAATAGATTTAAACAAGTGTTTCTGAGAAAAGGAATGGGAATCCAATAAGGAGGGGAAAAGCAAGAATAACAGAGTACATCTATAATTTGTACCAAATTTGAAACCATTTCAGGCTTTCTAGTGTATGCTAGAAGGGTTTTACTGCTTTGTAAAACCTCTTTGAAGGGACAAAGTCCTGATGCTATTGTGTATCTCCAATTGCTATTGCCTTATAGAAAAATGCTAATTTTACTACTGTATGGAATGACTACAAGATGTTTCATGTAAATAGTGTAGGCAAGTTCAACTGCATGATTTTAAAGCTGTATTTAAAAGTGGTTGATTATTTTTCCCAATTCACATTTATATGAACCAGGCAACTGTGTAATGTGGTGCCTGGGGGCTCCCATCCTAATGACATCTCTTTTTGGAAGCACAGTTTGATGGTATGTATCAAGAAAAGATGATGAAAGCTGCATTAAAGGACCTTAGGACTCTGTAGATGGCAGGAAAAAAAACCCCAGAAGCATTGTCTAGATGTATATCCCAAATAAAAGAAAGCATAAAATGTAAAAAATTAAGCATTTAGCTGACCCAAACTACAGCCATCTCATACTGTTTCCCTGGTTTCTGTATGTAATTAAAATTAATTAGTTGCTGCTTTTTTTCTTTTATATTAAGTCCTTTCATTGCAACTTTTAAAGAACAATTTTTTTAGGATAGTTCATGTAGTTGGCTGTTGGCTGAAGCAGTTGGAAAAAATATACTGCATTGCTCAGCTAACACATAACATCCTTTGGCATGAACTTCATGATACTGACCCAAATATGTCTGAAAGTGCCCCTTGTTCATGTGTTTTTTACATTTATGCACATTTCAGAGGTTGATGTGGTGCTCAGGGAGGAGGGATGTGAAATGTGGGCACTGAATACAGTGAAAGATGCAGTGGTTTGGACTGAGCTATTGAAGAGCTGAATATCCAAAAGGCACAAAATGAACCTAGCAAGATGACTTCTTGAAAGGTGGCATGTAGTAACAAATCCATTGCATTCCAGTCAGTGAATGACTGGCTGAATTTGAGCACTAGAATGTACTGTCAAGCAATGTCAGAGGAAGACTTCATAAAAGAAGAATGAGAGCCAGCTATGATGAACATATTGCAAGATGGGCTGAGCCAGAAGAAATACACTGTCTTGCCATGACTATAAAAGACAGAAATAGCAACCTTTACATGGAAGGTATCATCTGAAAAGTTGCTGACACCTCTCTATGGGATGAGACTGCCCAGTATAAAACTTAGTGATTTTACATCCTGTCAATGATGGTATGCTATTAAAAGAAGCAAGTGAATGTAGTACCAACAGTTGGCTTTGGTATATATTTTTGAAAGGACTATCTTCAGCACATTTGGGTAAGAAGAATCCTGTTAGTATCAGGTGTCTCCCCTCCAGGTCAGTAATGCTAATCATAAGCCTTGCTGATGATGGATTCCTGTATTTTTTTTCCAGCTCAAAGGCCACTCTTTGGGTAATGTTCTACCTGAGTCTGGCAGTGATTACCTTCACAGGCTTGTCTTGGGGGAGAAATAATGTTAGTGAACACTCTTGCCCTCCAGATGATCTTCATAAAGTAATTCATTGTTTATTTTGAAATAATTTGGCTTTTTAAAGTCTGTATCCACCTCACAGAGTTCCATGCAGAACTCTGGGTCTATCAGCCTGCAGAATCCACCACAGAGCTTAACATGTCCTTTATTTTCAGCTAGTAATATTTCTTCCTTCCAGTTTTGCTTGTATAAAAGTGTTTTTGTCTTCCTAATTCAGCCCCTCTTCCAGATTACTGTTTTGCTCTCTGATCGTGTTTTAGCTTTAATTGGTTAGCTTCCAGCAGTGGAAAAAAATGAATGTCTATACCAAGTATAAAGTTGGAAATAACATATCAATTTTATGGACATTCTATTGCTCCCAGACTGCTTATCCAAACCTATTCTGTTGTTCACTGGGTAGTTTCATATCTCCTGGATGGCTCCCCATTATGTTAGAACAATACAGTCCTCTGGCATAGCATGTCACATCATCTAATTGCTGCCCAATGTGATGGTGAATGTTTTGTTAAATTATCGTGTGTCTGTGGCAGTTCTGCGTGTTGCACAGGGGTTGTAACTCTCTTAAATTAACAGATGTTAATATTCCTTCTCTTTCTAGACGGTAAGTCACTATTCTGTTGCTCTCAAAGTCTCTAAACTAGTTACAAAGAAACAAGAAAACTTCTGGGAAGCACTGCTGTTCTACACATAAAGACTCAAAAAGAAACAAGTGGGTTGATATTCTGGAGCAATGTAGGTGTCAAATGCAGTTGCTTTTGTTCTACAGAAAGCTAGCACAAGAGTAATTACTGTAAATGGAGTGAAAAAAAGACTCAGAAGGCCAATAAATATTAAATGTGTATCTTGGAAAGTGTTTATAAAAAAGGAAGTAAATTCTGCTTGGGGAATTGTCTTGGTTGTCTTGGTGTTCGTGTTGTTTTAGCAGAAATGGTTTATTTGTTACAGCCAGCCCTCAAAATATAAAGTTCTCTTCTAGATTAGAAGTGGTTTACTGACAGAAGATGTCCTTGATTTCATCACTGCTACATTAATTTCATTAAGGCCTTGTGAAGTAATTGTGTGGCAAGATTTATTTGTCGTAGTCTGGTGCACACTTACTGTGGGGAGAGCTATTCTGTGGAATATTAGCAATGCCATTTACCAGGTGCTTCCATTTGCCTCAAAAAACCTCTCCAACCTTGATGTAAAATCAGTATCTCAAAATGCAGGATTAAACTGTCATTTCTAGTTTGAATTCTCTTTCCATTGCTTGTCAAGCTCTTTCTTTTGTGTTTAAAATAAACAACTCATGCCTTCTTTGAGCCATATCTTTTTGGGCACTGGTGGAGGCCAGCAGTACTGTTGAGAGCAGTAAAGTAGATCTGTGTTCTTGCCTATAATCTCCATGGAGAACACAGAGTCAATTTTCCCTCAGTCAATGGTTTTGTGTTGTGGCTGATCTACACTGCCACGGGTAAGTGAAGATAGTTGTGCCCCCTACCCTTCCCACCTCACACCCAGGTATTC